GATCTGATTGTTCTCTGCTGCAGTTCAGTAACACTTACAAGTTTTGTCCTGTGATTGGGCAGTGAAGGAGAAGCAGAATACTGATGAGCTCATCTCTCTATAATTCTACTCTCTCCTCCTATCAGCATGTCCCTTGTTAGTACATGAGCACTGCAGCTGAGTGCTGCCCCGCTCTCCCTGCTGTACATGGACTGATACTACATAAGATACATGTACTTACGCTGCCTTCGTGTATAAATACATTTAATTATGTATTGATGAAAACAAAGCTGCATTAATTTCTGTCAATCATACCAGCCTGGAGATTAGCATAAGGGTGATCATATAGAGAAAGATGGTTCCGCACAATATGAGTGACTGCGAACACTTTATATATCTACACACACTGCTATGTGATTGGATGATTTATTTTCCTTTGCTCATTACATGTTTTAATCTAATTCTTTGGTGACTGCAGAAAGTATCTCAGTTTTTTCATCAAATGTCATGTAAACTTTCAGTCTGATGAATTGGATTGTTGATCTGATAAAGTGGAAAGTTTCTTGTTCTTTCCCATGAAAATGTGTGACAGATGTCCATACGGTCGTGTGCGCTTATTACTTGAGTTATATCGAATGTTTCTAAATAAATGAAAAGAATTAGAATAGAACTGAACATGTGATTGTAACTTATCAGATGCCCGAACAATTGCAATGTGTTCTTCTTCTTCTTCTTCTTCTTATATTATTAATATTATCCAGGCCCCTGGTCATCTATGCCAATGAATCAGACATAAATAGGTAGTTCAGGCCTGCACGGTGGACCACATTGACCACCACTGAGATCAGTGACATGACTAAACAGTGGGCATCATTTTGGGCTGAGCAGTGGCCTTTCTGAGGGCCTGATGGGCTATCTCTGGGTCTGGGCAATCTTTGGGGTATTCATGTCCATAGAGCTGCACTGAGGTACCAGCAGATTCTCCGCAGCCACAAAGTCAATGTACATGAAGAAAGAGCTCAGTGTCTAGATTTAGTTCCTTATTATATTTATTTGACCGCTCAAAGGTGTCACTTTCACAATATCTTTTGCTGCCTCTAGCTGTGTGTCAATCCAGACAACATCCCACACTGATCCTCCTTATCCATACATACAATTTATACCTTAATACATAAGTTTGCTATATTTTTATAATATTGCTCAGTTTGTGTTTTGCATATAAAATATCAGAAATTCAAAACTAAACATGAGGGGCATCTGATAGCTCACAGCAGGGGAATAATCTAGGGGAAATTGCAGGGCACAGTGCTGGAGGTAGGGGGCGCTGTCTGCAGATGGCTAAATATAAGTGCAGATAGACAGCAGAGTATAGGTACACAGGCAGAGGGCCCTATCAGTACAGGTCAGGATACAGGTGTACAGGCAGAGGGCACTATCAGTACAGGATACAGGTGTACACACAGGGGGCACTATCAGTACAGGATACAGGTGTGTAGATAGAGGGCGCTGTCAGTGCAGGATACAGGTGTGTAGATAGAGGGCGCTGTCAGTGCAGGATACAGGTGTGTAGATAGAGGGCGCTGTCAGTACGGGATATAGGTGTGTAGATAGAGGGCGTTGTCAGTACAGGATACAGATGTGTAGATAGAGGGCGCTGTCTGTGCAGGATACAGGTGTGTAGATAGAGGGTGCTGTCAGTACAGGATACAGGTGTGTAGATAGAGGGCGCTGTCAGTACAGGATACAGGTGTGTAGATAGAGGGCGCTGTCTGTACAGGATACAGGTGTGTAGATAGAGGGCGCTGTCAGTCTTGCGTATAAGATTGAGGGTCGATCATTGTGAGATTTTGAAGTAATTCTAAAAGTTTGATGTCTGGGACAGGTATTTACTCCTAGAGCTGTTCTCGGTTGTAGTGATTC